GCAAGTAATGCTTGGTCATGAGGTCGGTAGTTCATCGACAAACACAAATATAATTCCCATGATCTACGCTCTGATTTCGGGAAGAACACAAAAAGCATATATGGCGGTGTTTGAAATAATTCAATCTCAAATTCCGGATTAGTCACCTACAAAATTCACTAGCGATTTTGAACAACCGTCGTCCAATGCTATGTTGGCAGTATTTCCGAGAAACACAATTAAAGGCTGTTACTATCATTTTAGAAATAGTATTTGGAGAATGTGTAAAATTCTGCAGCTTGTAAAGAATAAGAGAACTCGACGGATTATTGCATTGTGTGCAGTTTTACCTTTACTTCCAAGGGACAAAATAGAGTCGGGATGGAGTTACATTCAAGCATTTATTGACGTTAATGACAATAAAATGTGTTTACTGGTATCATAAATGAATAAGTTTTGGATGAAAGATAGTAGTTTTGTCGATACGTGGTGTGTTTTTGGTGAAACGCACCGTACAAACAACTTTATAGAAGGTTAGCATGTGAAAATTAACAATGAATGTCGAGGGAAAAGGGTCACTTTATTGAAAATATTAAAAGTTTTTAAAGATGATGCCGCTTTGTATAGTGTTTTGAGAATCCAAGTTAAAAATTGCGTGGCGCCATTTAAAGGCAGAACAAGAGAGAGCATTCTAAGAGATCAACATATTCAAAACACCCAAATGATGCTTATAAATAGTGAGATATCTGTAAGACATTGTTTAGAAATTTTAAGGTAAAATTTCAAATACCACATCTTTTGCCATAGATTCATCTATATCCTACAGATGTCACCATTTATAAGCATCATTCGGGTGTTCTATGCTTTATTGTGTTCACTTGTAAAAAAATTATTTTGTATTTTATAAAAAAAACTCGAATAATAAGTAGGTGATGTTTTATTTTTGTGTTTCACTGTACATGAAGTCAGTAGTTCTATTTGAAATAAAATCCGCGTTTCCAAATAGTTCGATCCGTCAGTATAACAAATTGCAATAAAAAAATCGAAACAGTTCGACTCTCGAACTACTGGTAGGACTAGGTGGAATAAGGGCAATAGTATTATATTAATATTATAATATTTTTATTATATTTGATCAATTTTGCATTAATAATGCTATACTGCAAAATATTTTTAATGAAAAAATTCAGTTTGTCCCTATCACTCTGAAATGGGATACGAACCAATATAGTCCCATCTCAGAGTATAAGGGACAAAGTGATTGTTTAAAGCATTTTTCATCACTACATTGTATAAAATAAAGTCGCTTCCTCTGTCCCCGTGTATGCTTAAATCTTTAAAACTGCGCAACGGATTTTGATACGGTTTTTTTCATAGATAGTGATTCAAAAGGAAGGCTTTTATGTATAATACAAGACAACGCAGGCAAAGCCGCTGGCGGACTGCTAGTTAAGAATAATTTTCAGTCTTTTCACTTCATTTTATTTATACGAATATCGACGACAGTATGTACACACGTTTACAGGATTTATAGAAAATTCCCGCAAGAAGTTTTTAAGGACTTATTCACGGTAGTGAATTAAGTGCATCGATTTAGGTCTAATAATGTGTCCCTATGATTATTATGGTTCCAAAAAACTAGATGCAACGAGCTTACCACAACCACAGATTCACTGTGGAAAAATATGTTTAGGTAACTTCTGTTGAAGAAGAGTACCTATAATTAATATAATGTGCCAAAGTTTGAAAAGATACAGGCAGATGTAAATTATGCATGTCTCAGATTATATACAGCTAAAGCCTGCGAGAACAATATCGCAGAATGGATGCTTATAGAATAATCAATATGTGAAGAAAATATTTACATGAACTGTTACAGTCAATGAAATGCCAATTTTTGGTATGTATTTTCAGATAAAAATGTTGTAATTATATCAAGTAAACTTTATATAATTGTTTCTTATAATAGTTAATATCTGCCATAGTATAACATCTTTACAAGCATCATATGCTTTGTGGAGCTCTTATTATGGGGGTCCATAAGATTATTATTTATTATTGCAATATAATTATTACTAAAGTTTTCAGAGTAATAAAATAAATCTATACTAATATTATAAATGCGAAAGTAACTCTGTCTGTCTGTTACTTAATCACGCCTAAACCACTGAACCAATTTGCAACAAATTTTATTGGTATGGAGATATTTTAGTACCCAAGAAAGGACATAGGCTACTTTTTACCGCGGGAAAATGACGCATTCCCACGGAAAAATAATCTAAATATATATAACTCAAAGGTGATCTATCAACGCACAGCCCAAACCACTGGACGGATCGGGCTGAAATGGCATACAGGTGGATGTTATGACGTAGGCATTCTCTAAAAAAGTATTTTGATCGATTCCACCCCCAAGGAAATAAAATAGGGGATGAAAGTTTGTATGAAACTTTGTCAATTTTAAGGGCTGAGACTTTGCATGCATAAAGCTACTATGACGTAAGCATCCCCTAAGAAAGGATTTTAATAAATTCCACCCCTAAGGGCATAAGCTAAGAGGATAATACTTTTTTTTTTTCAGGTATTTTACACGATATATATAATGAATAAATATTCGTTAGAAATGCTGCTGAAAGTAACTTTACCAGGCGGACGAAGTCGCGGGCAAAAGCTAGTCTTAACTAAACATTTCCCAATCGAAGGAGTAGTAATTGGAATACAAGTATTTTAGAATAATTTTGATTTTCCATTTGAGATCCAAAACAAAATATGAATCTTTGAATTCAGAATTCAATTAGCCTAAATGCTTTTTAATAATTAGTTAAATATTATAGTTATAAATGTTACTTATTATTTTGAACTGAAATTTAAAAATGAATATGGAATACTATTGTGACATTAAATTAAGTGTTATTTTATTTCTTTATGAATTAATTTAATTGTATAATCATTGGCTGTATTTTGAGATTTTTAAAACAAATATATAAATTATTTTCTTTGCTTGAAGTAAATAATTACAATTGTATATTGTCCTTTATGGTTTCATACAAACATTGTAATACTTAAGAATAGGATGCTAAATAATAATACCTAATATATGAAATATTTAATATAATAATTTTGCTTACACTTACCTGGTGATTGTTAAAAAATATCAGGAAATCCTCAAATTTTCACTGAATCCAATATTGTGAAATAAATTTATAGTATTATTATAAATTAATGATAATAAATGCCTTTCAAATATTTCTAACCACAGTGATTTTTTAAACACAATCAAAATATGCAAGACAGGTTTAAGCTAACAAGTTCAGAAAGGGACTGTCCGGGGAACGGTACTCAACGTTCAGGTCTCCGGGCTCTCCGGTATAACAAATTCAAAAATTGACAAATACCAAGTTCCCATTGGATAAAAAGCCCCACACCCTTTTGCGCCTGTGCTAAAAAAGGAAAGGGTTAAACAACTTACCCCTTTTGATTCACCCCTCATTTTGTATCTCTTTCCTTTGAGATTTGACAATACATTTATTTGCATAATCAGCTACAGTACTTTTACCAAAGCAAACAGCAACAAGATAAACTTTATAATAATCAGTAATTAGCGATTTTGTCATAAAAGCTTTTTTAAATAATATTATAAGTATGGAAAACTTTTAAATTACAGCTGTTTATCTGGTAAATATAAAAAAAAAATCTTACCTTTACTAGTAAATATAAAATGTAACTTCGACCGTACAAATCAAAATAATTTATAATAAATATTTAAGTTAAGAGAATACTTTTCTTTCTATTTCACAACGTAAACAAAAACATTGCCGCGAAATGTCAAAAGTTTTGATTTGTAGAATCGATGTTCCGTTCTACGTTCTAAAACTCTTTGGTTCTAACAATATCAGTAAAATATGTATAAAAAAGTCAAATCAATAGATACATAAAAATGTATGTGAAATCATTATAATTAAGAAATTATTTGTTCTATTCTATACATTTAGAAGATTTTGTTCTACTTCTTCTTTTACTAATGGCTTATCTGCGCATTTCACACAATTCTGCCGATGTCAAGTAAATAAATTAATTTAAATTAATGTAAAATGAAAATGAAATGAATGAAAGATGATGATGGATCTGTAAAATAAAATACAATTAAAAATAAAAAAATGTCACTGTGCATTATAAGCTGTCATGTCAGTATTGCCATACCATACTTTGAGTAACGCAAAGCGTTTAGTTTTTATGGTTGACGTAAAAATTTAAGTAAGCCCATTCTTGATTTTTGCCTGTAAAGCTGCCGAGGACACTAAATTTTAGTAGCTGTAATGGGATCATAACAATACGGATGATGACTAATCATAAAATCAATAAATTTGTATCTACATTGAATTAAAATGTCACGCATTTGTACATTTTAAAACTATGACGTAGCTAGCCCCTTCATCTACTCATCAACTTTATTGCCTGTTATCTAAGTTATTTCTTGTTAAATTAAAGCAAGAACTTACCGTGGCGACATCTAGTTAGATCGGAAACTAATGTTTTTTTTTTTTAATACTTCCTCATATAATACGGTTAAAAAAAAAAGAGCTTCACAAAATTCTACAATAATGGGACGGACGGACATGTTTTCAAATATCCTACTTAAGTTTTATTTATTTTTTTGCTTTAAGGTTGCAACAATTGGTTGCAATTTGAGAAGTCATTGTCATTTAGCACGTTTCGTCCGTTGTGGCTCGTACCCATTTAGGTCAATATTTGTACGTATCGAGCCAGTTGGCAACACTCATCATAGATAAGAAAAAATTGTTATCATGAGTACTTCTTTCTTACATTTAATATTTATATAACATAATTTTAAGGGTTTTTTAGTCTAAGGATTTTGTAGTAGTGTTTAGTTCTAATTATATGTATGCACTAAAGGATTAAGCTGATGGCCTTGGTAGCCAATGCTCTTAATAAAAAAAAAAAAAAAAAAATTATCATGAGTACTTTTGTTCTGTGTCATTCACGCTCAAAGAGTACCTATTCAATGGTATTCATGCTTGCGAATTAAGTTAACAAAATTATAATCAAATTAAAATTATCTAAACCTTTATTTTCTTCACAAAGAACACTTCTATAGAAAAAGCAATAAATTCTAATATGACGTTATATCATTTTGGAAACTGTCTTGCATTACTTTATGCACCATATCATATGGCATACAAATTTTCTGGAGTGTAAGTCTATTTAGTTTAACATTTTATATTAATCATAAGTGAACATTGCATAATATAACTTATTAAATGTTTCAGATCTGAATATGCTACATTCTCAAAGTGTGTTTATGCTGGAGGCCTATATATTTTCACACAATTGTGTAAAATGTTACTTCTAGCAACATTCTTTCCTGATTCTGATATACAAACAAGTGGAGAGTACAATGTGTTTTTGGTGAGTAATTACTCCCATGCTTGTCTAGTCCCAATCCTTTTTTTGTACAATAAGAATTCACATTGTATTTTTCATTTTTATATACCTGTAGGCATCACAAAGTCCACCCCTATTTAGCAATTAACAACTCGGTAATCTGGAATTTCTTCGGTTATACTCTCCTCATATCTTTTACTTAAATTGTAATAAATAATTAACATAAGTTTTACTTTGAGCTTGGTATAGGTCACAAACTTACGATAAGTTACTCAAGATTAATTTTTTTATTTTATGTTTATAGCATTCAATAAGAATGTAACTGGAAAAGAGTAATATGTGCCAGCAGTTTACCATTTCTTACAAGTTTTGTAAGCTTACTGAATCATTTATATAATATTTCACTTGTATATGCTAGCACTAGGCTGTCACTGCATAGAACAAAAAGTGATATTCATATCTATGTCATCAGTGGTGCACATAGAATCTAATTTGACTGGAACATTGGAGGAGTGCTATTTTATTGTGTGACAAATTGAATATATAGACAAATATAAGTACTTAGAACAAATTATCTCACTGCTTATAATAAATAAATAAATCAAAACAATAATAAGTGAAGACTGGAAGAGCTTTTGGTAGCTAAGGAAAATCATGAAATAATAACAATAATAAAATCATTTATTTATCTCTCATATCTAACTACATAATTAATATAGTTTTAAATCCAAATAATAGAAAATGAGACAAAACAGTTTATGACTCAGTTATGTTGTGTGCACCCACAGCCTCTGTTATTCTGTCATAACCACATAGTAAATTCAAAATGACCCCCTGCACTTTTATAATAAGGAAGCTAAATTTATGTTTCACAAAATGGGAGGACAAATACCAAGTAATGTACAAGACATCGAGACTACACAACTCCCAATTACACAATCCACCCACCCAGACCCAACACAAGAGACTGCTGTCCAAGAAGCTATTCTTTACAATATTCACGAAATGTTGTAAGACTGCATTATATAAAACATTCCCTACTAGCTTAAAGAGAACACTCTTCGATCCTTGCATACCATTCTAACTTATGGATTTAAAACATGATGACTTAATAGGTCCCATCTGTTTAAATTAAAGACTTGCCAAAGAGCAAAGGAAAGAAGCATCTAAGGTATTATGAAAATGCAAAAATTAAGGCATACAACAGTGTCTCTAACTGTTGTATGCCTTAATTTTTGCACTGACTGATAATTGTCACTGGAAAGGAAAGTGGAGATGGGCAGGTAATGTAATCAAAGACACAGAACAGTGGAGGAAAACAATACTGAAATGGATATCTAGAGAGAGAAAAAAGGAGAGGAAAGCAGTGAAGATGAACTTGCAAAATTTGCAGATTGATATCAAATAATAAACAATATGAAAGATTTAGGACGCCTATGCCAAAAGGCAAACAGAAATAATCAACGAAACAACATTTTAATATTGACATATAAAATCATAAATAATCCACTATCAACATATACAAGCATACATTAAATAATTTGACTAATCCAATAATGAAATAGTATTAATTAGACATGTAAATTTAATAGTTCTCTGAATAAAGGCTTATTATTATTATATTTTATTGTGTAATTTTATAGTATCTTTGGTCTACTCAACACACAACATAAGCGTAATTATTATGCATACTAATATTAGAAAGAGGAAAGATTTGATTGTTTGTTTGCAATTAATAGGCCCCAAAACTACTGGACTGATTTCAATAATTTTTCAGCTATAGGAAGCTGCATCATATGTGGCAAACAAGGAATTATTACATGATCAAGTAGGAAGGCAGCTTGTTGCATATACAATATATATATAATCAATGTTTTGCAGTTGGGCACTAGAAGTTTGATTCACCTCAGGCCTCCACAACAGTCTAGTACCTTGTCTATATTTTAGAACGGTTTTATAATATCTGCAAATTATATGAACCAGGGATTAGTCAGTTTTTGAGAATGACATGGATGCATCTTTTTTAGTTTGTTCTATAGATAGGCAGATAGTGGGGTTACATTGATAGGTTCTGGCCAATTTCAGGTAGAAATGTTTATAATTTTAATATATATTTTCAGGAGATCCTAAAAGCGACAGTCGACTTTGCTGATCTTTTGGGACTCTACTTCGCTCTGAATGCTGTTCCCGGGAAGGGGCATGCGAAGATTCTCACCGCGGCGATCGGCTGGGCGAGTGCGGAGGTGAAATGATTTAAAAAGAATCAGAATTTGAATTTTGCTACCTTTCATTAAATTTCGTAATGTATTCTCTCTAACATTATTGTAAATCGGCATCAGACGCAAATACATTTTACACGAACAGCTACACGAATAGATGAGCTATTTAAATAGGATCTATATATAGCTCTGTAAAATAAGTAGTCATCAAAGCGACAGTCGAAACGGAGCCATTCGTAAATTTGTATTCGAAACTTATCAAAATTTGCAATATCATGGCTAAATTCAGCGGGACGCTCTCGGGTCGAAGACTTCGCTGAAATGATACGACACATCGAATATTAGTATGGTTTGATAAAAATCATTTATATAAGGATAAAGATTTTACGTTTTCGTATTAATTTTTATTTACCGATTATTATCGATATTACCGATTTACACAAAACGGGCGAAAGCTCATTCTATCCCCACTCTATTAAATTATTTTAGTGTTGTCCTACAGTGCTACTTATAAACAAGGTTTAGCGTTGTAGTAAACTTACTCTGAGACTACTCTTCCTATCAGTCAAAATTTATATTATTAAACAGAGACTTAACAAAGGTTAACGTACTACGAGGTAATAAGGGAGTAATATTTGCGCCTAGAAGGTAGTAGAATTGCTTATTCTCTGTGTAATATGAATTTGGACTAATACTAAAATTGCAACTAACTAACAATAAAATTTAAATTTTAGCGTAAATTTACTCTGAAACTAAACCTTGTTTATAAGAAGTAATAGTTTATAGCAGTGTTAAAGTCGCCCCGAAATAAGAGGTTTCTTTTGACATATGTCATCGGACCGTAAATAACGACGCTAACAAACAAATTCGATAACGGATTATCGATTAGAAAATGAATAGCCATAGAGTGTCGTCCGTGCATGAGTTCTTTTTTTTATTAATAGAAATTGCTTTTCCAGTTTGAAATATGATTAACTCCAATAATAAGATTATTCGAAAAGATTCAATACAAAATTTATCCATTGAAGCGAATACGTTGCTTATTTTAGAACTTAAAACGATCGATGTGTGACAAGACATTCTTTTTCCTTTTTCTTTTTGAAAAAAAAAAAGATCGAGAACGTCACTGTTTTTGGAACGTTACGTTGTAAATGAAAAGTTTATGTTTTTTATAATTTAATAATGTTCCGTGCTTCGGAACGCACGTTAAGCCGTTGGCCCCGGCTGCATTTGTAGGACGTTAAAACCCTCCGATCCATATTGGGCCAGCGTGGAGGGTCATGGCCCATCCTCCTTAACCGTCCATAAGGAAGGCCTGAGCCCCTGCAGGGGGGGACGTAAAAGGGCCGATGACGCTTAATAATAAAATTTTGTCCTACTGACCGACGCTTTTATTTTAAAAATTCCTATCTTTATCGATCGCTTCGAAATAATTTATTTCTCATTACGTCTATCACGTCCAACGGTGCGTCGTATCTCGTTTTTGAAGTGTCAAAGGGCACCTCTTATTCTGGGAATACTTCAGAGCGGTCGTTCGTCGATCTGTCTGCTTGTAAAAACATCACGAGGAACGTTCTAAGAACGCTCGTTCGCTCGACGCGAACGACTCTAGAACGGGCGAACGGTCGCTCGTTCTCGCGTGTTCGGACAAGCTTTCGATTACACTACAAGAACAAGAAAGACCGCTCTCCGACGTTCGGGTCGAACGAACCGGCCGCCCCGGGCCTCGGCCCCGTTCGGCCCGCGGCGGCCGCCTCGCTGACGCGGCACGCGGGCTGCGGCAGGCGCTGGTGAGCCGCGCGGTGCCGCTGTGGGTGGGCGCGCGCGGGTCGGAGTTCTCGTGGCGGTACGTGGGCATGTGCGCCGCCGCCAACCTGGCGCTCGTGCACACGGCCGCGGCCGCCGCGCTGGTGTGGCTGGCGGGCCGCAGCGACCTGCCGCGCCGCCTGGCGCCCGCGCACGCCGCGCTGCTGGCGCTGACGCCGTACCGCGCGCCGCTGGAGGCGGCGGCGGGCGCGCTGCTGCGGCTGCCGGCCGACGCGCCCGCGCTGCTGCTGCTGCGCGCCGCGCACGCCGCCGCGCGCGCGCTGGCCGCGCTCGCCATGTACGCCGCGCTCTAGCTCGATCCGGATCTATCTCTTCGAGGACGAACTTTTTAGAAATAAGTATTATTCGACGAGCTTCTTTTATTCTAAGTGTAGACTGAAGAATCGTTTTAGAAGGAGTCTTTGAGTAGTAGAAAAAAATATTTTGTTAATTTGATGGTAAAACATAAGAATTTTAATTTATAGATTTCTAAAAAAATACGTTCCCGCCCGTCGCTCAGACGTCCGTTAAAATTGTCATCGGTTAACGGTGACGCTTAACCTGACCCACCCCCGATCGAACTGTTAATATAGTTTTGTGGGACTTAAGGTTTCCTTTTTTTTTTTGTAATGAAAGGAATTATTAAAATAAATAAATTCAAATAGTTGTCATCTGACGCTCAGCGAGATGTACTCGTCTCGTTCGAGTTAATATTATAATCGGTTATATCGCAAAATATATTTTATTTAAAACAATTTAGCTCTGTTTGTATTAATACAGGAATTTACTTCAATCACTTGTGCTTTTATTATATAAACCGATTTAATACTCTGACACGAGCGCACATTAATGAACCCTATTACCACAAATGAGAGTTAAAAAGTGCACGGAAAGCACTGTTGCCGTTCTACAAAATTTCAAATGCTTAGACAATCTTTACAAATCTGCTAGTGAACGTTAAGATAGTAGACACAACCCAACGAATTTGAGGGTCTTATCTATGTCATTAAATAGTGAGTAAAAAGATTAATAAATGAGTAAATATTGTGAGTACATAGCATATAATTAGTGACACTGTATATTCAGAGATATTGGAAGATCTTAGTGTGTGACTAAAAGTAAGATTCGTAATGAGGAAGTATTAAAAAAAAAGAACTAGATATCACTACGGTACTCTCTTGTTTTCTCCATGACAACCCTTCCGGTTTTCTTTCATGTATAAAAGTAAATTAATTTACAGAACTCAATTAACAACTCTTATCCTATTTGTACTTTTTCGTTTTAATATCTAAGTATCAAACTTTGCAAATTACAGTTTTTTTTATATATAAAAGGAACAGAAATGACTATCTTTGGTCCATTCGTTTCCTGCAAAAATCAACTTTTGGTAGAGTCGCCATCTAGTGAGGAACTTTTTAGATTACAATGGCAACAACACAGAACTGTCAGTTTGACACTACGTTAACTATTCATAGAGATGGACGATAGCACCTAAGTAGGTATCGATACTTACTGGATAGTACCATATCGCTTTTGATGTATCGATGCCTACTCTATATCGAATGAAAAGTATCGATACCTACTTGCATCGGACAGTTTTAAAATGTGTCACCCTCGACTTAATTTTTATAGATTTTTAGACAGGATTTGATACTATTTTATTTGATAATAGGCAATAGTAAAACTCTGTTTACGAGAAAAAGAGAAGTAGGTCCAGGCATAAAAAGTGATGAATATAATTATTATTCAAAATTTTGTTGGCAGTAACCTCTGAATATTTATAAATTGTTCTACATAAAATTTGTAGATAATAGCAATTCTTCGTACGACAGTGACGCCGCGTCTTTGGAACTTTTCATGAGATAGACCAGCCCCCTGATTGTCTAATTTTAAATCTATTGCAATCGCTTTCAGTTTGACAGGTGTTGCACAACCATTGCTGCATAGTACAAATACTTTTTTTTTCAACTGTCTTCAGAAAGAAGCAATGGTTATACAACATCTTTCAAACCGAAAGATTTTAAAGTTAGACAATTAGGCCCCAGGCATCTTGCCACAGAGTAAACAGTCTAATGCAGGCGAGTTTTTTTTAATCTCCTTATTGATTAACCGACCAAGCGCCGATACAAATACTTACTTCACGATACTACTTCTTACTCGGTTTTAAAATATCTATACCAAAATACTTGTGAACGATAGAAAAATGTCAAGTAAGTACTTGTATATTCATGTATCGTTGCACCCTAAGGACATGAAAATTTGTAGAACGGTAACAATGGTGCTTTGAAGTCAAGGTAGAGATGCGACTCGATAGGATTTGTTAATTCTTCCAACCCAATGAAGTATTTGACAATAAAAATTAGTTCTCTAAACCAAACTAGATAATAAAAACTATTCTTTTATATTTTCTTTCTGATATAATAAAAGGGATTTGAGTATCGAAATTTAATGATAATGGCATCTTTTCGTGTTTCTTATAATATCTAAATTTCAAATTAATTTTAATTTATTTGAATCGTTATTTAATGCTCATTTATTATATTACGTGTTAAGGACGAAGTTTGGTTTTGGTTTGTAAGCCTGCTCGTAATTTTTCTTCATACTTCAATTGACTCGATTCATTCGAATTAAGGTTAGGAATGTTGTTCCGATTTTTGAAGAACACAAATTGGAGCGCAGAATTCGCCTTGTTTACTATGTGTAGTATTTCCATATGTGCCATTAGGCATCAACAAGTCGAATTATAATAATATAATATCAAAATGAATTCAGCCTAGGCAGCTAGTACTTGCGAAAGTCAAAAACTATGCCAACAGTTCGCAAAACTACGGCGGAAGATCTTATACTGAGAAAAGCCGGCAAAAAACTCAACAAGCGCTGCTTTTTTCTCCTTATTTTATTTCACATTGAGAAGACTTATTAGAATATGACTTAAATAGACTATGAAATAACTTTCCATTACAATACCAGGAATAATATGCCGGTCGCTGAGTCACACATACTCATTGACAAATCTATATAAAGAAAATGAACGAAATTAAGAAGCCCAGTGCAGACTCGTCCCCACTGGCAGTACCCATTGACAAGCTTGACACATGAGCCAGCCATCGCTTCGCTCAACTATATTTCAGGGAACATAACGACCTGACGCAAACGACACCACCACCGAGATTTTTAAGAGCGTGACGTGACTACTTTAGGTTCATAATAAATAATATATTTCAGTAAAACTGATTTATAGAGCACGATGACTCCTAGTCAATTTATTTTTGACAATATTATTGTAAGAACCAAAAAAGCACATTTGACAACTCTGATCGAGTCGTAGACTTGCTTGTCGTCGAGTAGTAAAATCCGAAGAAGGTGAAAATTTATATCTTACAACTACTTATACCTAAACGTGCTATAAAAAAACCAATTAAAAATTCTTAAAACTAGAAACACAAACTTAACCAATAACAAATGCACATTTTAAACCAATTACATGAAAAATAAAATATTAACTATGGAAGAGGAAAGTACCGAGAGGAAAGGGAAAGGGGTTGAGATGTGGGGCGAGGGATCATGTGTTGTCAAACGTCATGAATTGACATTTCGATCCTACAATTTGTGCTGCCATCTAGTGACATATTTTTTTGTAGCTTCTTTGTTTTTTTTTAAATACTCCCTGTTCCGTATTATTAATTAGCTGTAATATTACAAATTAGCACAAAGCATTCGTCTTAATTTATTATTATTATTTTGTTTCTATAATGCAATGCTAAGGCTCACAAGCCCTAAACAAAACGCACCACCACGCAAAACGAAACGTATGTCTTTACGTTGTAAGTGCTGCCACCTATACACACACAGAGAGAAGGTTTCCGATCGCCGCTCGCACAGCTGGCATATTATAAAATTTAATAATAATCCGTTTCATAAAACCTAGCTAAATTCGCGACAAATTTTTGAAGATGAAAGCTTCCAGCGACCTAATCGAAGCAGCTACTAACTGGGGCCCCATATCAAGATACAAGAAAATCAGTATACTTACTTGGTAAATGAACTGATCGCATTGCTTAACTAAATTTCTTACACACTCCCTCCTTAATTACCTGACTCGACTTTTCAAGTGACGAAACGATGAGACAAGAATAAAAAATAAAACTTACACCTTAAGTAAAATTTCTCTTAGTAATTTATAAAAAATATATACATAATTTAAAAGAATACACATTTCTGTAAAAGAGTTTTGACATATCATTTATTTAAGTAATAAAGAAAATAAAAAATAAACGGCATAGATTAATGAATGAGGAAGTACCTATTTAAAAAAAATAGTTTCCGAAATCAAACTTTTTTTTTAACTCTAGATAGGCAAGCACTTGACCACAGATCACCTGATGGTAAGCAATGCAGTGGTCTAAGGTGGAGCGTGCTTGCCTAGAAGGAACCGATTCACTCTTGACTTGAAGAGTCCCAGATTGTATTTGCCCGGAAACAGCGAGTCCGGTAGCGAATTCCACAGCTTCGCAGTTCGCACGATGAATATAGAGGCGAATAGCTTGGTGCAAACTACGGTAACAATGATACGTTCTTCATTTCTCCATGACAACCCTTCCGGTTTTCTTTCATGTTTAAAAGTAAATTAGTTTTCAAAACTCAATAAGCAACTCATATTCTATTTGTACTTTTCCGTATTTGTATTGATATCCATATTTCGAACTTTTCATATTTCAGTTATTTAATATGTAAATTATTGAAAAAAATATTATTAAAAAAATTATTTAATAATAGGAACGGAAATAATTGTCTTTAGTCAATTCGTTTCCTGCAAAAATCAACTTTTTCTAGAGTCGCCGTCTAGTGGAGGTGCTTTTTAGGGTTTTCGGTTTTTTTTAATACTTCCTCATTAGATTGGTAAAGTGATATCTAATGGCAAGAGAATCAACCCGATGCGCCGAATTGACCCAATAACTCAAGTGCATTGAGACTCGAGTAATATTTTTTCCACTTGAGTACGCGTTTGAAAAAATTACTTGAGTTACTCGAGTCAAAACAGGACTCACTACACTATAAATGTAGTTTGTGTAGAGATGTAAAGATTACACCTAGGTACCAAAACTTTTACTAGATATCGTATCGGTCGTGAAGTATCGATATTTACGCATCGAATGAAAAGTTTTTAAATTATCTCACCTTTATTGTAATTTTTAAAGATTTTTAGGGCAGATACTATTGATAGTCAATAGCAATACTCTGTTATTAAAGAAAGAGAAACAGGTTCAGGTATAAAAAGCAATGAATATAGTTTTACAGTCTGTCTATAAAGTCATGAAAAGAATGTTTGAGGAACTAACATTAGACACAAGTATGACAACACTGAATCAAAGTACATCGACTGTCAACAACTTGATTTTTTTTAGCTCGATTTTCTGCATTTTTGATTTGTTTTGATTAAACTGAAGCTACTTCTTCTAAACTCTGTAGAAAAGTGTTAAAAATGAAGAGAATTAATCGGAGTGAAGCTCAGGATATTATTTTTAAAGTTTTTGAGTGATGTTTATTAGAACAAGAAGCTGGACACATTCTATCATATTTGTAGGATGTTTATGCTCGAACGGCAGTTATGACTGATATGTAATCGTGTTACTGATTGTGTTTTGGTTACCAGAAGTTTCAAATTTACTCAATATATGAATTTAAGTCTAAAATAAGTATTGTTTACATTACGCATTTATAGGTTAGATTGAAAAAGTTAGAAGGCTATATTGTAGTGCGACCCGAACTTTTGATACTTTTGGATAATCAAATTTATCATTGATTTTTAATCTGAATAAAAAATATACCTGTTAGGAATGTACGATTTCTACCTACGTACGCCAATAAAAAGTTTGTGCTTTATGTTACTAAAATTATAGCATTAATTTGATCATTGTGGCGAGTCCATTCTTTTTGCCAAATACCTATAGGTATTACATTTTTAAAACTAACTTTCAGGAAAATCAGAGAATATAGTGATACGTATTGTAGATGAAGGCTATAAAAATGGTGGCATATTTGAAACCCTTGGAAAACATAGATAGTCGTCGTAAGAAATAAATTGTTAACTGCAACATTTGTGCACATCGCCAAAAGATTCCGTTATTTTACTCTGTGAAAGAAAGAGGTACCTACATGAACAAAACTTCAGTGGATTGCCAAAACCGATCTGGATTTTAATTGTAGCCTAGAAGTCCTGCGTTAAATTCTGAAATAGATTGGGTTTTCTTACAAGGAGTGTCCAAGTAACAGGCTTTAATCGAACACAAGCACACATTGCAGTAAAACGAGAAGACTACTTGGCAATTATAAAAAAAAAAGATTTATCAAAAATTACGATTACTATATTGTAATCTTCAATGTCTATGAATTATACGCCTTTCTTTACCTTTTAAAAAAAGAAAAAATTTAGATAGATAGAATATTCTTTATTGCACACACAAAGACAATATACACTTATATGACAAAAACAGGAGACGTACAACTGGCGGCCTTATCACTAAAAGTGATTTCTTCCAGGCAACCTTGGGATGGAGTTAAATATAAAAGACCTAATGATGGGGTAGTGGATGGTGTACAAATAAACAATTTATAAATATACATAATTGATAATTGTTATATACTTAATTATAATTTACCTACATATACTATAATATAATAAATATTATCATATAAAATATAATACATATATAATACCTATATACATACTTTCATGGACAGGTAGTGCTCTCTGACAAGTTTCCTAAATATATCAAGAGAATTAGCTTTTCTAATCGCCAACGGTAGCGCATTCCATAGGCGTACACCGTGGACGGTAAAAGATTTATCGTAGTACCTAGTGGAATGTATTAGCATTTCCAGCCGCAGGTTTTCTGATGATCTCAAGAAGCGGGGATGGGATTCTTTGACGAATTTGAAACGATCTTTGAGATAAGAAGGAGTAGTGGGATTAAAAAGTATATTAAATAACATGTTTAAAATATGTGCTTTCCGGCGAAATCGAATTGGCAGCCACTTGAGTTTCTCACGAAATTCGGAAACGTGATCATATTTGCGTAATCCAAATATGAATCTTATGCAAAAATTTTGAAGGCACTCAAGCTTGTTCAGCTGCATTTGTGTAAGGTCAAGATAGCTGACGTCGGCGTAATCGAGAATGGGCATTAGAAGAGATTGTGTGAGCGCAATTTTAGTGGCAGTAGGGAAGAAATTGCGAAGCCTTCTTAAAGACCCAGCAGATGCAAAAAGTTTGCGACTCACTTCCTTGAGTTGCACATCCCAATTTAAGTTTTTATCAATACATACACCTAAATTTCTAACATGATCACTAAATTGTAAGGAGCTTCCATCGAAAACTATTTGCGGGATCTGTTCAAACTTTACTTTAGCTCTAAGCCTTGAGCTGCCCACTACGGCAACTTGAGTTTTGGTGGGATTCACCCAAAGCCCATGTTTGCGGCTCCATTCAGAAATCTGAGCTAAATCTTTATTAAGAGTTTCAATGGCAGAACTAATATCTTCAGCGGGGGCTTTCGTATATATTTGCAAATCGTCTGCATAAAGATGGTAGGAAGAAAGTAACTGACAGGAAATTGTGTTAATATAAACAGCAAAAAGAAGAGGAGATAAAACGCCACACTGCGGCACCCCGGCAGTTAAGTCACACCAACAAGAGAAAGAATCTTCAACGCGGACGCGCTGCCGGCGTCCAGACAGGTAACTTCGAAACCAATCAACTGCTGATGGAGAAATGTTAATAGAGCGTAATTTTTGAAGCAAAACGTCAAAATCAACAGTGTTGAATGCGTTGCTAAAGTCTAGTAGACATAAGATCTTGATGGTTCCAGCTTCCATTCCTAGCCTAATATCATCCGTTATGTTGATAAGGGCAGTAGTAGTGCTTTGGTATTTTAGTAACATAAAACCGGATTGGTAGGGATTCGGTTGTGAACAAGACGCTCAAGGACTTTAGATAGGAATGGGAGGATGGCTATGGGACGATAATCAGACAGGGAGTCAGGGTTAGATTTCTTAGGAAGTGGTGTAACTTGAGCTTCTTTCCAGGATGACGGAAATTCACTAACAGATATAGAAAACTTAAATATATGTGTAAGCACAGGAAGAATTTCATCGAGGATTGGTATTACCATTTTCCGGCTGACACGGTCATTACCCACTGCATTAGAGGTAATTGACAAGACGCTCTTTTTAACATCACACACAGAGAATTGATTAATGAAGAAAGAATCATGATTAGGGCGGGGCAGAGATGAAATTGATTGGATGGTATTTGCTTTCGTGGTCTCGTCAAATTAAGGTGACGAGGAAAAATGTTGATTTAATAAAGAAATTTATTTAAATTTTTTCTTTTGATTAAAGAAAAAAAAATCCGGTTTATTTTATTATAAGTAAAGAAAATCCTACTATCAAAATCATTTGTTTCACTACACAGGGTTGCTACGTGCACGATCGCAGCGCCCTCAATTTTTTTCATGACTTTATAGACAGACTGTAAGTATGTTTTTGGCTAGGTATTGCTTCAAATTTAGTTGGCAGTGCCGCTTCTAGATAGGTGACTGAGTGATTTTCAAAAGCTTGTTATTCCGTTTTCATACATCCGTCAATATTATTCTAAAAAATAATGAATCCTAATTGATATTTTAAAATCTATACAGAATCTAATATCGTAGCAGACATTGATGTCACCGATATAAAAAAATATATCAATCACAATTATGACGTATATTTCATGCGGGAGGTTCAAATTTTCAAGAAACACAAACTACATAAAATAAGTAGGGGTTCGCAATGCTTAGTTATACGACAGGGAGTGGGACCTTGCGCTTGTGGGACTTTTTCATGAGACAGACATTACATACCTTACTACAGAGTCTTATGCAAGCGAATTTTCCTCAATGATTGACTGACCAAATACAAGATACAAATACTTACTTTACGATACTACTTGTTCTTCGGTTCTTAAGTATCGAAGCCAAAAGTACTTGGATCGAAAGAAAACTATCGTGTCCAAGTACTGTATCGTGCATCCCTACTAACTCTGTGATCCCGAAGTACAAATATGTGGGCATTAGCTACATATTACTAATCTGTGGTGGGCATTTGGTACCTACTAAGTCTGTGATTGTAATCTTTGGTCTGTGATTTAAGCATATAGCATATTATAATCGGGCAAGAGTCAAGTTGTTGTAAATGGTTGTAAAACGTAGTGTTTAAATTCTCTTTTGGTGATTACTGTAAAAAACAAAAATCATCGAAAAACACAGTGTTCATCACCTATATATTTATAACAATATGTAACTCCCAATGTTTACTTTAAAATCAACATGGCAAACTTTACAGATCGGATAATGCGTCTATTGGCATTATGTTTACTTCTTTTAACATATTTCTGCAAAGCTCATTATCAAATTAAATGTAGTAATAGCACGAAAGATACTACATCCATGGTGCCCTCGGAAGATGGTGTTAAAGGTCGTTATATTGTGGAATGGTGTACTAACATAGCGAAAAGTGACACAGAATGGAATCTTGAAATTATTTACAATCGTAAAAATGTCAGAATTTGCGCCCCCAAAAATGTACACTCTACAAAAACAGTAAAAATAAACAGCGGCGATGTCAATTGTAGTTTTGTAAGTACTAAATTATTGTCCCCTGGAAATGTTTATTTTGTTTCAAATACAGTGAAAATAAATTCATAATAAAACATTTGAAGGTGCTACAATCTTTATTATTATGATAAAATATTGTTTTTCTCGCATGTTATGTATCAAATTTTAAATGCAAATTGTAAAAAACTTAGAATTCTAAAATAATTCACATAAAATAATAAGTTTAGGCTCAGAAGAGCGGTATTATCATAGATATTACTAATGTCTATTCTGGTTTCTAGGTTTGTTTATCTACAGATGTTGACTTGATATTCAGTGCTTGCTACCTTCTTCAAAGTGATATTAAATCTCATGGCTCTATGAGAACGAACTCCCAGCACAATATACCTAATGGATATTCAATGGATACATTCACCAATACTGTATTTACAGCCAATTACATTAACCATGGGTGAGTATTTACTCATTTATATATAATTGAAAGGCTTATTTATGTGTATGTAACATTTTGTCAATCTTGCAGATATATAATTGTAAAAAATCTACTTATATTTCAACTTAATACATTACATATGAAATGGAAGATCTCCAGTTTAATTATGTGCATAAGTTAGTCCCATTTATAAAAATTATTCATGTTGGCAAATGCCCAAGGATTAAAAAGCACCGAAATTTAAATAAGTGTTTCTACTGCCTATTGTGAAAGTATATCATATAAAAATTTATTGAATCGATGATTAATATCAAGTAAACAAAGCACAAAGCTAAAAGCAAAAATTTTCAAATAGTAAACTATAAATAAGTTTTAAACTTTTTTTAATTTCATAATGTTATTTAGTTAATTTCAACTGTCAAAGCACATCTACCTCTCTGCTAGCTTACTTGCTATCAACTAAATTATGTGTTTTGTTGCAATAATATCTCTGTAATATTTTAGTATATGTAACAAGGCTTGTTTGTTTTCAAAGAGCAATAGAGATTTTTAATTTCAATGTTATTGGTTGTTGGTGCTCAATATAAAAATCTTTTTCAAAACTGACCATTAGGTCACATTAGGCTTTATCTGATCAATTTGAAATATAAAAGGAAGAAACAAAAGCTGATGAATCTTTAATAGCCACTCTACACTCATTTTAATTGATAAACCAAATTAAGTTTATTGAAATGATTGAAGTTGGCCATAGTCGTAAAATATTCTATTAGTGATACTTACAAATATCAGGTTGCTACTAAAAGTGAAGTTGGTATAAACAAAACAGAACAATCTGAATGAATATTTTTTTAAATTTGATTTGACAATTTATAATAATATAGAGTTATGCTTTACCAGTGGATGTTTTCCAGAATTTAGAATAAATGCACATTATCATACTATTCATCATAATTACAAATTAACTCTTTATCATTCAGTTGCATAAACATCCATTAAAAATTACATTAGTCATACAAATTTGACATTTAGCTAAAATGCCCTTTAAGGTTTAATGACGCCTTTAAGCTTTAAGCATCTTCCATTAAGAATATTATATTATGATATTGCTTTTTCATTCGTCGTCGCTTAGATGATACGAAAAAAAAACTATCAAAATAATTAACAATACAAACACTATATTGCAAATTGAATTGTGAATAAATTTTTAAGTTGATAATTAAAGCTCAGATGAATGAGTCTGGATAATCGGGATTCTACTGTATTTAACATATCGCACACCTAAGCCATAAACCATAACTCAAAAAACTAATGTGGAGGTCTGACAATACATTTGTTTACGTGGCAGGAACGCGACCACTGTTGATTCAACAAAAGAAAGCTAAAGTTATCTAGCGGCTCATCCCCGAACCTTTATTGAATCTGTTATGTTGGATAGATGTGTATGATCATTGAGAATTTGAATATTGTACTAAGTCAAAACTCACTCAAATTTTTGAGTTGTCTCAGTTTAGATCTAGGTATGCGATATATAGACACTGAACTTGATACTTAAAATGTAATAATTAAATATTTGTATTTCATATATTTTCCCAGTATGTTTTTTTTTGTATCACATTTTAATTATGAATTTTCAATAAAAGAAATTTGATTATGTGTGTCTTTAATATAAATTATTGCCATATATATGTATATCGAGCCTATTGATTGAAACAGCCGTTAAATTGGCCGGCTTGCAATTTGATTGAATGCCGCCATTCAATTGCACGCCTAGTTTTCAAGTTGAATTGATATGACATTTGGGCCATTCAACAAGACGGCTGATTTTAAAGCCGCCATTACGCTCATTTGGTTTTATTATCATGCGTAAATTATAGCCTATGTCAACCCCTTATAATGTAGCCACCAGTAAGTGATAGATATTTTTGTCCAGTACATTTGGAGCCTATTCAATGCAAACAAACATACAGACAATTAAATCTTTCCTCTTTAAAACATTACTATAAATTCTTCAACCTAAAAACCTCTATTTTTAATATCACTTCTTAAATATTTGTTTATTCCTGTCTAACTTTAAATTTTTACTGTTATTGAGGGAGGCATATAATATGCTCTTCATAGTTGACCCCCCCAATAACCCTAATTTCAAAGAGAGGTTAAACAGGTCTTTAATGCCTTGTGACTAAATATTGATAAAAATTTTGATTAATATTACCAGCACTACCAGGCCACTACTTCTAAATATTACTTATTTCTGAAACTATTCAAGAGTACTGGCTGTGAAAATATATAAATTAAAGTTACCCATTCTAAAAACCCAAATATGTTATTGTATCTTTTTGAAACATGAATATAATGCTAGTATGAAAATGAAATTATTATCATATTCAGTACATGAACACAGTTTAAATAGTGATAACGTTACTTTCAGCGACTACATATCAGTTAACTTCTACTTGGGCACTGTACCTGCTACTGACTATGAACTGGTTCTTTGCAAATTGGATGATACTTCATATGATAAGGTGAGTTATAAATAACACTATGCTTTTATGCTGAAATTCAAACAATTAATAATAATAAAACTATGAGTGTTTAAAAATTTGTATATACGTACAAATATTTTATTATACGTGTTGCTGACAGCCTTAGCATGTTTTTGATATATTATTACTTTAAGGAGGCTTTTATACTTATTTTTAATTGTTAATTTTTTATTTTTTGACTTTGTCAATGTGTTTTGGTTTGTTATTGTACCTTGTGTTTTTGTACATTGTTCATTAAAAAATCTTTTACTTCACTAAAAGTTATCTTTATACAGTCCATTGTGCTTGCTGTTAATAACAATACATGTTATATTTTATTTGTAAGTTTCATATTAAAAACTTAGTAACTAAAAATGGTGTGACAATAAAGTATTATTATTGTAATGTTGTATAAGTATATTATAACATAAGTATACTTATAATGTCTGAAATCATTTAAAAGAATCTACTCAGATTCCATTATTTCATTATTTTCTTATTTCATTATTTTTGAAATGCAGGATATTTGCACATATCAAACATAAAATAATAGTTCTCTATTTTTATATTTCCTCCCATTATTCGACTCCTCTATTTGGGTGCCAATCAATAGCATATTGTTTACATCACGAATTGCATAAATGATTCATGAAGCTTTTAAAATTATAATTTTAATTCAGTGTCACGAATCATTAACAAAGGATAAAGATCTTAAGTGTATTAGATTTTTTTAGTCCGCTTTTTTATTTGTCAAACATTACATAAGTAGATATTACCTACATATTGTTAGGTTTCACCGCGGTAGAAACGACGGAACCTTTATACGATCACTGCCGCATTGATTCCATTTTTTGTATAAAAATATAAAACAAAATTGATTGATTATAATTGTACCAAATATTCTGTACCTATGTCATTTCGATATTCACTTCACTTATGCCACGAAACATTATTACAAATTCAAGATTGAGCGGATAGTAGTTTTCAAGATATTTTAAGGAAAATGCAAAAACTGAGATGACTATTAGTTTCATTAGTTTTACTTATTTTGGACTACCTGTTTTCTCGCGACTTTTACTGCTTAATTTATAGTTTGTGACACTCGCGTCTGATGAAGCATAGAATTTTCATGGACGGATCCGAAGGTCCATATTTCCGAAGATCAACCGTTCCGAACGATATAGATAAATGCCTGAGGCACTTCGTGACCCGACGCGTGATATTCTAAATAATCGAAACGGTATCGAAGTTGTTAGAGTTAAGATTGTTATTTTTTTTGCAATTTTACCTAACGTAGACGTCGGATCGATCGAAAAATGCCGGTGGACGAGACCGTTAACGATCAGCGGGAAAAACGATCGAGCGGGAATCGAATTCGCGTCGAGCACAAATGTGACGTTTTCGTATCGAAAAGCGGAGTCAATGATTTTCGCGCTGAGAGTATCGAACGTTCAGGATTGCCCGGACGTGACGCGCAACTGTTCGACGCTGAGGTCGCCGCACGGCGTGGCGTGTCGGCTGCGCGGCCTCGCGCCCGGCCGCTACGAGCTGGCGCTCACGCACCTCGCGCCGTGGGTCAGCGGCGACTTCATGCGGAACAAGGCCACCACCAGGAATATCTTCGGTGAGGTGTTTTATTTTGCAATTCGGTAGTCCTCGACCGCATCGCGGGGCGCAGGCTACCCTACTTTCTGGGGAGCGCCAAAAGTCGGAACGGTCTCGAGACGAAAGTCCAGCACGGGCGGCGGTCTAGCCGTCCGGGACGGGCGGACCCGGGCGCTCTCCTCGGGGAGCGCGCCTCATCTGAATATTAACGTTGTGTGGTATCGTGCGCAGAAGTGAACTCGCCGCGCGTGGCGGGCGTGGGCCGCGTGGGCGCGGGCGGTGCGGGGTGGGGGTGGGCGCGGGGGTGGGGCGCGGCGGCGGCGGCGCTGCTGGCGCTGTGCGCGGCGGCGGCGCTGCTGCTGTGCGCGCTGCAGCGGCGGCGGCACCGCGCGCGCAGCAAGCGCGTGCTCAGCCAGTGGCTGCACAGGTGCGTGATGCGTATGCGACTACCGACACGACGCGTGGTCGTCGATTATCGAACGCCGTTCTCCCCGCAGTTTCACCGCGCAGACAGTTTATTAGTTTCACCGATCGCGTCTCCGAAAATTGCCGCAGATTCTTTAGTCCTCTTCGATGATCGTCGGCGATGTGGACGTTTTAGGAGCGTCTCTCTTTAATATAAACGATGTAGCATCGTGTATACACGATTGAATCGATCTTTTCGACCCATCCCTATTTTCGATATGTTAAAATTGTCAAACGACGTGAATGAAAAATTGAGTCTGTCTCCCGATAAAAGTCTCGCGATATCGAGAGGAACTAAAATGATTTCAATTTGACTCGTTCAGCATCTAGTTTTGTTATTATTTATTAGGGCGATGATACGATTTTATTTATACATATTAAAAATATTTATGTATTATAATCTCCGGCTATCCGACGTGGTAGTAGACTACAGCGTCTTCATCGCACGATGATAAAGTACATCGTCTTAGGTGGTTTAGATTTATAATATACTAGAGTCGAATAGCGCACCGACTACAATCTTTTATGACACAGTTCTCGTTAATAGGCCACAAAATAATGAATACATCTGTCACCATGAAGACATTACACTACATAATATTGGACTTCAGGTACATAGTACAATGGTAAAATGCGAGTAGTTCTCGATGTGACTATTGAGATGCAATCATTGCGTAAACATTAGCAGTATTAAGGGTGAGAGTGACGTGTGGTGTTGTTTTGGCTTAATTTCACATGAAAATGTTATTTGTAACGTAAGATCTCACGATATTTCCCCCATAACCCATTAGAATAGCTTAACTCGCAACAATGTTTAGTGCGTGGACGGTGCGGGTGGGGGAAGCGCTAAAAACTGTCGCCGATCGTTAACCGTTATTTAACTTGGCGACAGATTCCAACAACCAGATGCAGTAACGACTTAAGCCGTTTGTCAGACGATAATTAACAATGTTACGTCACCGCCCGTCAGAGTCAAAGCATTATTTATTATAATGTATTATTATTACCAATCAAAGCTTGAATTTGTTGCAGTCATCGAAAAAAAATGTAAAATCCCAATATCTTTTTTGGAAATTTAAAAAAAGAACATTTAATATGATAATAATTAAAAGTGATTAATTAAATGTGATTATTAAAATTCAAAATTAAAGCACCTTCAACACCGATCTATTGACATTGACCACGTTAGTTGAAACAATTAATTTCTTCTGAATTTCTTTTTTATTTTTTTTATTGTATTGTATTATTTAAAAGTCAAAAGTCAAAATAATCTTTATTCAAATAAACTTCTTAAAAGTACTTTTGAATCGTCCAACATTTTTTTCCCTACCACTCGTTCAGGACGTCTTTTGGCTGATAAGAAGAACGAGCAAGAAACTCACCAGCTCTAATATAAGTAATGACATTTACAAAAACCATGTCATTACCAGATCAATACATTATAAACAGAGATAAAAAAAAATGCTATGGTCTTATAATAATAACATAATCATTTAATAATAATGGAAACAAGATAATGAGTTTAGAAGTAATCAATCACCTATCCAGTTGCTGGATCATCTCAAGTCCAAGCGTTCTTATCTGTTATATAATCGGATATCTTATAATAAGCTTTTTTAATAAGTATTTTTTTAATAGTAGATTTAAACTGCATGATATCTAATTGTTGAATTTTGCTTGGGACCTTATTGTAGAAGCGCACACAAAGACCCTTGAAAGAGTTATTAACTTTTTACAGTCTAGTGACAGGCACCGTTAATTTATTTTTATTTCTTGTATTAAAATTGTGTACATCACTTTTTATAGAAAACAAACTAATATTTTTACGAACGTACATTAAGTTCTCGTATATGTATTGAGAAGCAACAGTCATAATGTCTATTTCCTTAAATTTCTCCCTTAAAGAGTCCCTAATCCTAAGATTATAAATTGATCGAATTGCTCTTTTCTGAAGCACAAAAATTGTTTGTATGTCGGCAGCATTTCCCCACAATAGGATACCGTACGACATAACACTATGAAAGTAACTGAAGTATACTAATCTGGCAGTATCTATGTCAGTTAACCTACGTATCTTCATATTTAGATATAAAGATAAATATTATTCGTCGAATATTTTTGTTCAATAATAATAACTTATTCACATAAAATAATATTTTATAAGTAACCACATGGACTAATGTAAAATATATGTTTTTATGTTTTATGTTGTGTGATATGTGTGTGTTCGTTGTGTGTGATTATGTGTGTGTTTGTGTATGTGTGTGTTTGTATGTTGTGTTTTGTTTATTGTTTATATAATTGTATGTGTCTATAATGTTGAGTTTTGACTCTTTTAATTTCTGTTTATATTTATAATGTAGGTTTGTAAAAGTTGTATATCAATGTAATACTGAGTCAGTTGATATAAGGTGTCCGATCCTATATAATATTATTTGCCATTTAAAAAACTTTGTTTTCGGTATGTTCAAAAGTCTCAATATTACCGTTTGAGATATTTAATAAATTAACATGACCGAGCGACTTGCACTTTGCATCAGAGACTTTACGCTGCTATACTCGCTCGACTGATAATGTAAATTAAAAAAAATATTATTATACGAGGGTCAAACTGAAAGTTCTTAGAACTGGCCACTTATAAACAATATAATAAAAAAATAATTCTAAAATTTGAAAATATAACTCTTTGCCAATATTACTGAGTATATATTTCATTCATTTGTCATTTGTTTTACGATTTGGCGGCAAATTGAAAATTGTCTGTGTCACGTCATCATGAATTTAACACGAGAAAATTTTCGTGCAATGATTTTTTATGACTTTCGATGTCATTTAAGTCAAAAAGAAAGTTATGATAGACTACGATTGGCCTTTCACGATGAAGCCCCATCTCGTGCGACTGTTTACAACTGGTTTAATGAGTTTAAACGTGGTCGCACTAATCTCACTGATGATTTACGTGAGGGACGGCCTTCTACGACGACGACTGAAGATAACATCTGTGTTGTGCGGCGTATGATAGAGACTGACAAAAGAGTGACCTATCAACAGATTCGGACAAGCTTAGGCATCGGTATGAGTCAAGTGCACAAAATCCTCCACGAACATTTAGCGGTCAGGAAGCTTTGCGCCCGGTGGATACCTCATAATTTGACTGAGGCTCAAAAACTCCATCGTGTGGATTGGTGTCGTAAAATGATTGAAAGATTTAACGGAGGTGACTCAAATGCTGTGTTCGACATACTAACAGGTGACGAAAGCTGGATTTACTGTTATGATCCTAAAACCAAAAGACAATCTGCTCAGTGGGTGTTTTCTTTCGAGGAGTTGCCAACTAAAGTGAAGAGAGATCGAAGTGCGGGAAAAAAATGGTGGCCTCGTTCTTTGGAAGGATAGGTCATTTTGCAACAATTGTGTTAGAGGATCAAAAAACAGTTTCTGCAGAATGGTACACTACCAATTGTTTGCCACTTGTCTTGGAAAAAGTTCGAGAGAAACGACCTCGCAGTAGGATCCTCCTTCACCACGACAACGCCTCGTCGCACACCGCCAAGCGAACGATCGACTATTTGGCGACATCAAACGTTGAATTACTGGGTCACCCGCCGTATAGCCCCGACCTCGCGCCTTGTGATTTTTATTTATTTCCAAAAATTAAAGAAAAACTTAAAGGAAAGCGGTTTATGAATGCTGAAGAAGCGGTGGCTGCGTATCGCGATGCCATTGAAGAGACCCCTAAGGACGAGTGGGCAAAGTGCTTTTCCCAGTGGTTCCATCGCATGCAGCGGTGTATTGACGTGAATGGACAATATTTTGAAAAGATATAATAAAACTAATAACTGGCTAATGTAATCAGTTTTTGATTTTCTAAGAACTTTCAGTTTGACCCTCGTAATGAAAAAACTACTTATGATGTTGATATACGCAAAACGCAAACGCATTAAGGAAATATGTGCTCACGATAAAACGAAACTAGAATCGTAATATTGAATGGGTAGGTTTGGATATTCCCAAGTGATAATATTATATAGAAACATTTAAATAATTAATTTAATTAATCAACAGGCGAGATGTTTTATCAGTTCACCAAAATATACCAAGATTATACAAAAATGTACCTAAACAGGACTTATTTTTAAGATTCCGTACCACAAAAGGTAAAAACGTTATAGGATCATTGTTCTCTGTCCATCTGTCTGTCTGTCCTTTATTTCGGGAGTACGTGTAGATGTATAATTAAAATTTAAACCATATTCTCGGGTCTGCAATCCCTTGAATCTGTGAAAAAATGAAATTCCTTAATTAACATAATATAAAGATACGGTCGTTTACGCCGGTCAAAACGCATATTTCGACTAGGTGCTGGCCGTGAATTTTGGCAATTAAAATAGTTTTATAGTTTAAGTATAAAAAAAATTCTGAAACTATACATTTGTAATTAAATCTTATAGATATAGTCTTATAATAGATCGAAATTTCATATTGACGCTACCACTTCAAGTGATGAGTAATAAAAAGGGCTTGCTGTACAATTTTCAATACGTATTTTACTTATGTTTCACGATGCATAAATTCCTATTTACAATATTGGTACGGAACCCTCAGTGCGTCAGACAGATTCGCTCGTAGTAATTTTTACGAGTTGATTAGTAAAATACAAGTAGTGCGTAATTATAACTAGACATTAGTTAGTAGCGGACGCATAACTGGCCCCCGCCTCGATCAGTTACCGGTGCAGGAGCCGCTTCCAACTCGACCCGAGCCAACGTGCTACATAATGTGGACATCCTTGATGTCACCGCTTAGCTCCGAACAGATCTTGTTTTGTTAGAAACGTGTTCATAAACATATGCGTATCTTATTCATTCGTAAAACAACAAAACTGTAAACGCATATTTTGGGACTTCTAGGCGTCTGTTGAAATGTATTTATAACAACGATTAGCTTAAACCTGTTTTGTTTTCCTGTGTGTTTAAACACATTGACACTAAGTAGTTGCTTCACTACAAAAATGCTATTTCGAGTACATCCGTTATATGAGGTTTGTTCAAACATAATAAGCTAAATTTTAAAAATATTAGTTTGTGACAGATTCGCTCATTAAAAGCTGAAATCAATAAATAATACTTTTGCATCATCCATATTTATCGTTATCATTAAAGTTTATATGAATAGTTGCTCATGAACGGGCGCAAAACAGTGCCATCTTTTGATCTGCTGCATTTGTATATGTAATTATTGACACATGACCACACATGCACGCACATACAGATAAGCGGACGTCAGTTATGTATATAATGTGTTATTTTTCGTATCCAACGGTTTTATCCTCCATTATAAATTATTCATTGGAAAAACAGTACCTAGTTTAAATATCAACACACGCGCGGAGGTCATGAAGTCGAATCGTTAGCTTATCTCTGAACACATTGCATATAATGGTCCAGGGTAGCTAAGATTTTCATGACCGTTTTCCTCTTGCTTAAGATATGAAAGTATCCTTTATTAAAATAAGCACTTTAAAATCGTCCGAAAATGTCGCCCACCGTTCATTCAGGATGTTCGATAACTAACCTACCCATAAATAAATTTAAAATTCATGTAAAGAAGATACTTATGAGGAAAGGCTATTATAAAGTTGATGATTATTTTAAGGTTCGCAATGTATGGAATTAATAGCCTTCGCTTTGTTCTATAACAACTAATTATATGTTCAACCTATGTCCTACAGACTTTGAAAGTTGTATTTATTATTGTGATAATACATATTATTTTGGTAATGACAAGATTTATGTAATTGTCGTTACCTATGATAAAAAGCTGGTAAGTTTCTTTCGCTTATTCTTCTTGTCAGCTAAAAGACGTCCTGAACAAGTGGTAGGGGAATAAATTTTTTTTGGACGTTTCAAAAGTGCTTGTAATAGCCTACTTGAATAAAGATATTTTCATTTCATTTCATAACAAGAAAAACGAGCAATAGAAATTAACCAGCTCTTATCATCAATAACTATATTTAGGTACATCAATCATGTCATACAATAATTACATAGTCGTCGTTGTTCAGTGTAAAACAAAGAGAAGGCTCTCAATGCATTTCAGTTCTTAAAATAATCAACAACTTTTAATAGCCTTTACTCATAAGTACGTTCTTACATGATTTTTAATTTTTTTTACCGGTACATTTAGTAAGATATTATAAAACGTTTGCCCAGAAATTATCCTCTAGCTTTTTAAAGACTGAATATTGAAATGGCAAGCTTAATTTTATTGATTGTATTTAAAATATACACCTCTTTTTTTTGTTAACGAATTATAATATTTATAGCTATACAACATTTTCGTAAATTTATTGAAAAGCAACAGTCAAATTATTGACATTTTAAAATTTTAGAAACATTTATTAGTGATGGTATTGTGATTAATTCATTAAATGACAATTGACATTAATATGTTTTCACAATTAATATTGTATGTTACCCGAACAAAAAAGTATTTCTCGGAGAGATTCATTCTCTAGATCGTTAATTGAACATAGCGCGGTGTGCTCTCTTTTTTCGTATAAATATATCTCGAATGTAAGCAGTAGACCTCACAACAATACATCAATTATACAATATATGGCAATAACCAAAATATTTTTTTTTTACTTTAGTGACCATGCACGTTTAAGTGGATAAATAATTAGTATTTGAGTAAACAACAACTTATAATTAATATCTTAATACTATCCTACTAGGAGGGTTATCATTTATAGATTTAAAGGTCGCGACTTATGAATAAATGTTACCTATCAATTTATATTTAATCAATATCAAAATAATGAGTTACTTGTGCGACCACAGGTCAAATACAGATAAAACGACTAGTTAATTACTATTTAACTATTGTTCAATTTGTTATCAGCGTTGTTTGATTTTTATTACGATATCAATTAGAAAAGTAATTAATTTTTAGAAATACTGGAGACACCATTTGTAATAAATAATCTTTGTTAGTTATTTCGATAAAAATGAGTCGTCGTCGTAACTACCGGTGACGTGATGCAGACGCTGGCTCTTCTTATATTATTATAATGATAAAGCACGCCTTTATTATCACTTCAGCTTACATTTATTAAGTGACGCGATGTGGACAACTAATCTACTACGTAAAAATAACATTTTATATCGTCGCTCAAGTTTTCAGAACGTTATGCGAAGGTCCGCGTGGTTACTGGCGTCAATGGTTGCATTATGTATTCGTGTATCGAGGTCACCAGATTTTCTAATGTTTCGATCGTCATAAAAACAAGATAAATTTTCATTGGACGTGAAAAGAAATTCTTTACACTATCCTTTATATAATTGCATCTCAGCGACCGGAACGAATTGACTTTATTTAGATTTTTTAGAGACATTGCCTCTGTTTTTGTGAGCTCGAATACTAAACAATTAACCAAAACAATTAAACTATTAATTTTACTTTTCTACTTGTCAGTCGATTGTAGTGCTGCGAATTATGCCAGGTTTTCAAAACTCCTACTTTAAAAAACAAATATATACCTACATACATAGAACGAATAATAAAACACATATATAATATTTTTGTTGTAGTTTATACATATTATAAAATAAATCATTCAAGCTTATTCCACTTGACTGCTACGATAAGCTGACAGTTTTATCTTTTGTAATGTATGCAAAATATAATTATATTCTAGCAGATACCAATATGTATGGTGATCACGTTATCCTTCATTGCGCGCGCGCAACTGTCCCACTAGCTGTTTGTAGAATGATATTGCATAAAAGTCTAGGTTTTTATAAATCGCCGGCCGAACAATTGATTAACCGATCGGAACAAACCAATCGAAGAGAGGTATCGGCCGATATGGTTACGTAAACTAGTACAAGGCATACTTATATAAATTATGGATTATGTAATAGGAGATGAATATCTGATTTATTATTAACGCTTTACCCGTACATCATACATGCGAGATGCATTACAGAATCAAAGAAAGCATGTTATTGTTATGAGTGTGCGTATTAATGAAGGAGACATTCCTGATTTTTGTAATTTTATTCATTGAAATCCTCAAACAGCTATCATTTTCAACATTGACCCGACTGGGACTCAAACCCGCGACTTTAGAGATGGCGTTACCTTGAAAACGGCGTGCGAACCACTCGGAGATAGCCGAGTGATTCGTTCATAACGTTATATGATAATTATTCATGTGTATGTCGCAGCTAACTGATTCAATCAAACGTCCAATTATCGAGCGGCTAGCCTTTTAACAGAATGACGCCATTGAATTGCACGGCTAAACTCCGATCGGCTAAGCAGCCGAATACAACTTTCTACATAACGGCAGAGCGAAGGGCAGCCAATCAATTAACTGTCAATTCACAAGAGTTAGGTAATTGCAATCCTCTTGCTCTTTTTCAAAATTATAGCTTCGTTGTATATAATTAATTACAGTTCATTTCTCTTTTTTTAGTAAGAAAAAATCTATGTCTGTATAGTAATAAAGAATACAGGCATAGATTGATCGTTAACGCCATTTTGTACACAGCGAATGTAGGATTTACACGTGGAAAACGACAACCATAATGAGTTCGAAAGAATCACGAGTTCTGTCGATCGAATAGTTTACTTGTAATTCTGAAAGAGATCGTCGGGGGGGGGGGGGGGGTAAACGTTTAGTGACATTTCGAGTCACCAATCCCAAGGAACGGGAATCGTTACAAAACTAATCTTCCGGCTGAACCGATCAATCGAGCGTCTGGAAACAGAGCGAAAGAAAGAAGAGCGTCCCGGCGGTGAAGGAGTAGGCCGAATAGACGTTTGGACGATTTTCAAATCGGCCGGCTCGTCGAACGGTTCAAATGTCATAATAACTCGACCAGAAAACTAGGCGCGCGGGCGTCCGGCGCCATTCGATCGACAAAATCCATTCATACGAGGTCTCCCGCCGAAGTTTTATGGCTTAGTTTTCGACTTTCACAGGTGCTCTGGAATTGGTTTCGGTTGATTCACCCCGGGCGGCTGCGATGTATATTAACTATTTAAAAACAACGTCGGCAGGGAGGAGAGCAAGCAACAGCCGGTGGGCGGCGCGGGCCCCATTCTGGTGGCGTACGCGCGCGAGGGGCCCGCCTTCCGGCCCCTAGTGCAGGCGCTGCTGGACCTGCTGGAGGCCGCGGCGCCCGGGCAGGTGCTGGACCTGCACTCGGCGCGCACGGCGGCGCTGGCGGCGGGGGGCGCGGCCGCGTGGCTGCGGGCGCTGCTGGCCGCGCCGCACCGCCTCGTGCTGCTGCAGTCGCCCGCGCTGCGCCTGCCCCCGCCCGGCGCGGCTGGGGAGGTGCTGTACCGCTGCCCCGAGCCGGGCGACTGGCTGCTGCCGCTGCTGCTGCGCACCGTCCAGGAGCACCGGGACCCCACGCCCTACCGGAAGCACTACCTCGCCACGTAAGATTGCCCTGGCGCCTTTTGCGTTCATTTCATCGCATCGCGGGGCTCGTCCGCTCCGGGCCGAACGCTCCCCCTTCAGCTTTTCCGTCGCCGGCGTCCCTTTCGAACTCCCCGTCGCGGGCGCGTACCTAGCTCTATCCGTTCTCGTCGATCTCGACGTGCTCATAAATAAATATTAAACGACGTCGCCGCCGCCGCGGCCTCCCGTTTCGGAGAGTATCCGAGCCGAAGACGCCGCGCTCCCCCGACTCTAAACGACGTAGTGGAGGCCGTTTTCTATATTCACCCGCTCGGAAATCGAACCGGGAACCTCTGAGATGTCGACGCCTCGAAACCGGAGCGCGAACCGCTCGGCTCCGCAGGTCGGCCGTCGTATGTCGTCGTAGTAATCCGAGTTCATCGACTGCCGCGGGCGCCTCTCCCGAAACGATCAGACTGCGCGTGCTGGAACCGTCCTCCCTAAAGTATAGTTAATGAGTAGAAAAGGAGAGATATGAACACCGTGACGTTCTCTCTTAACACTCGTATCCCGGCATTTGTCCTGTAGAGCGGTAGAAGCAGGAGGAGGTCCAAGGCGACATCGCATCGTCCGAAACGTTACTGCATTGAGAAACTCTCGGAATACACCTTATTAATGAGAGAGTTATAATGAGTCACTTGTGGGCGATTATAATAAAATGTATATATTTTATTTAATCACTGCAGTAAAAAAGTTCTTAAAATTATTTTAACACTAAAGCTCTTTTTACTAATATAATAATAGAAAAAGAAAGTAAAATTATAGTAAAATGGTATGAGTGAGTACGCGCGATTGGTATTCTTTATAACATTGAAGTAATGATTAGTTAAACTGTAATCGTTACTTCAATGTTATAAAGAATAATTATGAATTAAGTAGTCGTCGAATATTGCTGAGGCGCGTTACCTACTTATTACAGTTCAACGTGCGGTCCGTACACCTGTACTTTAGCACCGCCGATCCCTATTGGGACCTACACCTGTACCCAGGAAGGAATGTTAGGTGCATTGGTTTCAATCGATCATCAATATATGGCTTCAGCGCCACTAATCTGCAGTGGGATCTACACGTGGTCCAGTACGCAATGTACGTGGGCGGGGCGTGCGCGTGAAACCGCTCACTATTAAAAAAAAATTACAATTTCTTTATTAGTAGTTTTTGTATGATTTATGACGTCAAATGAAAGAGAAAATATAATGTTACAGTGATTGGCAAAACGTAAATATGACTGGGGGACCGTATTCGGGGTACGTTTATCGTTTTATCGAAATGGGTCGCGGGGGAGGCGGTACCGATGTACCGGGAGGGCCTGGGAGGGTTGCCCTCCTGCGCGGGAAGCGAGAGCGCGCTCCTTCCGTGCCATGTTCTAGTAGACATTAACGGAGAGCCGAAGTTGTCGGGACAAAATCCCAGAAACGACGGTGATATTTCTCTCGAATCGGTTTTATGCGATGTAATAGGGGGACAACTTTTTTATATTTTTATTCGTATATCTACTTTAAGATATAGAAGTAAGTTTAATTTTAAAATATTACCGCGAGAACGTCAACTGCTGTCACGGCGGCGCTCCGCCGTCCCGCCTCTCCCCGCCTCATATCGGGAGGTTCAATTCTCGAAGGTCCGAGAGGAGGAGGAGGGGCGGGACGTCCCGCGCTGTCCGCGGGCACTTGTATTTGTTTAATAAAACTGAAACTGTGATGTGAGTGTGTGCCGCGTGCAGGCTGGAGGGCCTGGAGACGGAGGTGCTGCCGCTGGCGGTGCCCTACCGCCGGTACCGCCTGCCCGCGCACGCGCCCGCGCTGCTGCGGGACCTGGCGGGGGCGGGGGCGGGGGCGGGCGAGGGGGCGGGGGCGGAGCTGGCGCGCGCGGCGGGCGCGTTCGTGGCGCACGTGCGCGCGCGGCCCGACTACCTGCTGGAGCAGCTCGTGCTCGTGTAGGGCGCGAGGCCCGCACCTCTAGGGTGTGGAAACCGCCTCGCCGCCTATTGAAAAATATTTCCGCTCCGATAAAAACTTCCCGTGTCTAAAATTTGTAAACTATGCCTCATTCGTTGATTCCGCACCCGACGTAGATGCGAAATTTTCCCCGACTCTAGGAAATCAAAAAAATCACATCGAGATTTAAATTTAAAACCCGATGCGTTTCTGCGAGTGCGAGTTGATATATTTCGGTAGTGCGCCGATATTATCCTCGATTTTAATATTTAAAACGAAAACATCTTTCATAAAATTCTCCACCCCCGTTCCGCATCGTGAAACCTAAATTCTCGAAAAAGAAGCGTCTTTGCAAATAATAAAATAACGGGCGTCATACAATCGAACCCAGTGATACTTTGATCGTAAAGATATCTATAACTTTTCCCGTTAAATTTAAAATCCTTGCTGGCTAACGCTTGATAGTTTTTTTATAGTCAGCTTCCTCTTCCCGGTAGATACCTCCAACGGCAGACGAGTGTTCACGTAAATGTTATTTTTTACATTTTAAGCCTGCGATATAATTAAGGTTCATCATAATGAAATGCCATCATAATGGACACGATTCCTTGTTAACAAAATTGAAACAACATTATGATACATAATCTCATAAAACTAATAAAATATTATTTACGATTAGATGCTACGTTACATTAATCGTATTTTATTTAAACTGTTCTCATTGTTAGTTTTAAAAATGTTAAAATAAGTGTCCGATGTATATTTTTGTTATTACTATATATCGCTTTTATACTTTTAATTTGTGACATTCGAGTCGAGTACAAATGGATTCGGAAAACAGTTTCGACTTGATTTGGTTGGAAATCTTCTTTATTAGTTGCATTTCTATGTTACCTGTTAATAGATAAGTAAGTTTTCCTAAATATGTGAATATTGTAAATATTTTATGATTTTTTTTGTAAATAATACTTGTTCTCATTCGTTTTAAATACATTATCGTCGGGTTATTTAGTCTGTTCGTTTATAAAATAATGTAAAACTGTTGTTGTTTTGAATTTATTAAATTAGTAAATACCGTACGATGATGAGTGACCAGCAAAGTTTTACTAAACTCACTTTTGAACTCGATTAAATTTGAACTAAATTAATATTAAAACAATAACGCCTTAGTTGAATTTGACAAGTTAACAGGGAAAACAATAACTGATTTAACTAGCTACGGTTGGCTTATATATAACTAGCTTATATACAGACCGGATTTTGATATGGAACAGTAACAGAGAGTACCTTTACCATTACAGTTATTGGAAAACTAAAAGACTATTTCTAAAAGACTCTTTTCAGAGATTTTTAAATAAAAAATATAGTGAGCAATAAAATAGAACTACATGTATGTATATGTTTGATGGCATAAAATCTCCGCGGTACAGTCGCTCTACACTGATACTAGACATTACAGAAATAGTCAAAAACCTTTCCCACACATCATGTAAGGAAAACGCTAAATCAACTGTAAATATTTTTTATTGTCAAAATACTATGTGAGGAGTTTATACGTCATTGCTGTTATATGGAAACGCTGTATTTATAGAACATACATACACGTCATCTGTTGTCCGCATAGGTTAGTAAGTAGAGTTTTAGTTTCTATACAAAAAATATTAAATGAAGCTATATAAAAGTGCATGATGTCTTCCAAAATTTGTAAAGTTTTAACAATATTTTCAGATCGTTTCAGTAGTTGCGTAATAAATTCAAACTAGGTCTTTAGAGAGATACTTTATAGCTTCATTTATTTATTATAATTGTTAGTCTTAGTTGTTTTACGTTACAAGTTGAATGTAAGAAATGTAGTCTCGATTACATTTGATAAATTTTGTTATTTGTGTACATAATTTTTATTTGTATGTTGGTTCTTCAATAAGTTTTCGACCCAACGAGTGACGACTTATATTTGTATTTTAATAAACATATCTTATGATGAAACCCCCTAACTCGTAGCCATAGCTAGACGACGGCTTAACATTTTCATTCATGAGAACATTAAAGCGTCCTCGTAACTATCGTTTTAAGTATGGATTCGAGTTTGCGGTTGGGATACGACATTTTATCGATGTTACGGCGATATTTCTTTTAATTTTACTACTTTGACATGTACTTTAGTACCGAAATACGATCGATAAAGAATGGTGATTAAGGATTTGATAGCAGTGCTACTTAGGTAGGTATTTATCAACCAAAATACATGTCGAAGTAGTAACACGCTGCAACATGTCGTATCCTGTGGCTAGAGAGTTAGGCGGTAGCCCCCGTGGTCTGCTCTTGCTTCTTCCCGTAGAAACTTATGATAAAAATATACCTAGTCTGTCTGTCAGCTATGATATAGGTAACATTTTACTGGTGAAAAACAGTTATGAGATCAATGTCAATCAGTATAGGTAGTGACGTATAAACGAGTTTCTAATTACTTTGAAATTAACTATATCGAATTAAGTAACATGTTAAAGTTTGGTTCAATCATATCGATAAAATATGTGTTAACAATCCGCCCTGTACTTAAGCTAAAATTGTGGACTTTACAAATATGACATGTTTTATAAATGTTGTCATTGTTTTGCTACATTATATACTTAGTATTTTTTATGGGAAATATCATACAACAAGGTAATGAATTGAGAGTGTTGCGAAAACAATGTCTCTTGTTGATAAGGGTAGACAATTGTTTAACTCGGGTTAAAATTTTCACTCGTGTAACACTTACCAAAATTAATAAATATATTACATATAGAAGTATAGGCTGATCAATGGGGACCTCATGTAGTTCATAGTAAACATCACAAACTTCTTATTAGATTGCTACAATAACTGATACACTATTTTAATGTTACTATTCTTGTTAAAATATAAGACACTAAGTTATATATTGTACTTGTTTTGAGTGGTGCTAATACTGGTGCGCTAAATGAGATACTCTATTTTTGTAACTGTTTATCGAATTTGTAACTGAATGTCATTTATATTGGTATATTTGTTAAAATACAATCACAGATAAAAAGATATATAAAACAATTGTTGGTTCATAATTTTGTCCCGACTCCCTTACTCCTTGCTTGACTTGAAATTGGCGCGCGTATGAAAAAGAAAGAGAATTAGTGCAAGAGGGACGGCGCGCTACGCACCGCGCAGGTAACAGACATGGCGTCGCTCGCTGCGCATTACACCGCCGCCGCCATGTAAATAAACCGGCTTACTGTGGATACGACAACGTTAGAAACGTTGACGAGTCCTCCATAATATGTTCTCGGTTCTTGTTATTTATACGCATCGATGAACACAAAATATATGTAATGTTTACGTTTGGTTAACTGCTCTTTGCCCTGAAATTATGATAAAATATTCATTTCCACTACTATTTAGGAAACTGATTAAACAATTTAATCAAGACTTGTAATAATCGTTCAGTGACGTTACTCAATAAATCTCATTTAGAAATTGCTATTTCCTTTTTGTTATCTTTTAATTCTACACTGGAATATCCTCGCTATGCTTTCATGCGCAACTTTTTATCAGCGATTTATTATCTATCACTTTATCAGTCCAATATTATATAACATGAACCTGTGTGGTAACACCTGTCTCGCTCACACCCGGTGTGCGCCGCGCACCGATTCGGGAGAGTGAACCCTCCGCGTTTGCATGCGAGAATGAGACGCGACATATTGCATTAAATTTCGATCCTATTCTGTAATGTTTTGTCCAATCGCGACGGATCTCTGCGTGTTCCGGTTCTTTGTCATCAATGGGTCGCCGGGCGAGTTCGTTTCGAGTGCCACTCGAGGACGTTTTACGTGATATTTGAGGCAGATTTCAATACACGGATCACGCTAAATAGTTTCCCGAGATATCGTCTTCGAGTGGGGTTAAGAATTTCGCGAGACACCATCGTATTTAACGCGATCAGACATAAGCCCTTTCGGTGCCGGAGCGCGTCGGCCACTTCAGCTGACTGCGTCGTACGCAAGGCTACTCTAACTAAGCTAGTAGTAGTCCGGCATCGGTCGGCGACAGTCGGTCGGGTGCGCGCTCGCTCTACGATATGCGAATATGTCACTGAGGGTTAAAATGCTTTTGGAACGTTTCCCATAGACGCGAGGGCGACAGATCGCAACCGGGGCGGATCAGTGACGCGGGGACAAGCGACACTCACGATACGCGGCGGCGGAGCGACGACGGGCACGGCCGAGCCGACGCTCAATAATGCTTAAATTTCTGACTCACAAGCTGCGAACGCATTCGTTGAATGAGGACAACGTTTCCGAAAAGGTGGGTGACGATTCCGCGAGCCGGCGGCCGAAGGTCACTCGCCACCAGAAAATGGCCGCCTCGCCTCGCGCGAGAACAAAGAAGCGAAACGGGCGCCGGCCGCAGCCCGCCCGCACACGGCCCGCACGCGGCCCGCCGCGGCCCCGCAGTGTAGTGTGCAGTGAGAGTGTAGTGACGCTGTTCTCTTGTTGCAGGTGGAGGAGCGCGACTCCGGCACCGAGTCGGACGACGAGGCCGAGCGCGCCGACACCGGTGAGTGCCCTCCTCTCTACTCCTGCTATACCTATAGCCGCTGCACGCACAGGCCTCTCGTCATCATCACCTGTCACCCCCCGGGCGACCCCCGGCGACCCCTCTCTACGCTTTCTTTGTCTACACTTGACCTTGAACGACACGACGGCACTTTTGCCAAATTAATTCTATATTTTATTTATCGTTCTATACGAATCGAAGGTAAACTCGATGCCGATAACATAAAATTGGCAACTGAAGTGCCGCAGTCTTCCGCCTCGTTTGCGATTTCGAAGGTGGAGCTATTATTCGAGATTATATTAGAATCTATGGTGTGCACCTTCACACACCTTCCCGTCGATATAAATAACGTTTATCCAAAAGATTTCTTGTTCGATTCCGATTAGAATCTCTCCAACCGTAAGCCGGTTCGCCCACTTGAATAAATTGAAGTGTGGGGTACTGACGGACTCGGCTCCTAGTTCATTTGGCCGATGAAGCGGTCCCGCGAGGTCCGGCTTGTGATCGCGCACCTACACCGTTCATCTGCTGTGACCTTGACGCTTGACCTTGACGTTTATCGACATAATGAATGACACGTCGAATTTATTCCCTGATTGAACCTACTCCAACATTTCGCGTTACCTACACGGACAATTTTCATCGCCGCAGAGTTAGGACCTTAAATTAACCTTCAAATTATTTTCACTAATTGACGCGATTGTGATTTGCATTTGGCCTGTTCACTATTAGTTTAGTGTTGTTTTTATTTAAATTTATATTTTTAAATTTAGTCTATTAATATCCAGTTTCCAAATAACGATTCCGCCTCCTTCTATCTTTAATCAACTATATTTACCATTTTTGGATAAATTTATTTTAAATAAGAGTGGATGGTGGCAAAAGTTAGTTTGATCTTATCTAGATTATAAACATGTTCAATAGATTTTATTTTAGCGCTTGCTGTATGACATGCCCACTGGGTATATATATCTAACTTAAATTAATATAAGTGAAATATAAAAAAATATCACATTTCTCAGTTATCGAGCAATGGCGCACCGCTAGCTCTGTTTTGCGCAGGTAGAGAATGAACCGGTCTCTTCATTAATAACTAAGTATTTATACCACTGACGATAATAAATGCTATTTGATTGCGTTTGACATTTGTTTTTCCACCGTTATTTGGTGATCATGACTTCTAATTTTTAAAATTACAAAACTAATGATGTACCGATGGCAATAATTAAATTTAATAAATTCGTTAATTTAAAAAATCCGTCGATCGAAACTAGCTAGTCTTTTAGTGAATGGATCTTGACGTTGTTGACATTTTTATAATGCTCTCAAATATATACTTACAAACTTTGTGTTTATATTATATTCTATTAAGAAATGTGAAAATATTTGCTACAAATTTAAATACATTAACCTTCCAGGAGCAGACTTTGCCGATGATTCTTTTAATTAGGTAAACACACAAACCTCCACACAATTAAAACACACAAAATTATAGGTATATATTACGATTCATTTACGAACATTCATTAGAACACATTAAATGAGTCTCGGTCCAGCTTTAATGTGTTGTATTCAATATCTACTTTTTGTAACGTTCTTAGTAGGTATTTAATTAAGGCGTGCGTATTGACCTCTCTATAGGACTCTCCGGTAAATAGTGTCATGGTAGAGAGTTAAATTAGTCGACATGGGACCAACAGCTTTCCACAACATTGATTTTATTAGTCAATCTGACCTTATTCCTGGATTAATCATTTCATTTTCTTTGTTTGTTAGTTTCGAATAGACTCAGATATCACTGGACTGATTTTAAAAATTCTTTCACCACTTTTAGATAGCTACACCATACGATATTGACATAGGCTATAACAGCTAGTATAATATATTAATCGGAAGATCTAAATATGTACATGCTTAAGACTGCATGCAAATCTTTTCCGGCGTATCGATAATCCAGTGATTATTTTGTATAAAAAGATAAGTATCACGTTCTTTCAGCCCATTTCCTACACACTGAAAATAAATAAAAACCTTTGTTTTCTGTCTATATTGCGTGACCTTTCTTCAGTTTGGGTTTGCTGAAATCTTAAATTCTTCTGCCACTTCTTCCCTTTGTTATCTGTTTCTCATAATTTTACCCGAAGCTGTGATTTTCACCCTAATAGCTTATTCATTTTTGCCTTATTCTATTCATTTTCTACACTACTTGTAGATACGCAACTAGATATCAAGCCAAAGCTCTCAAATATAACAACAAGATTTTGTATTTTATAGATAAGTATTAGAAATTGTACTAATAATTTCTTAATAGGAAAATCTTGATTACCTTCTTTACGTTACTTAACACTTCGTCAATTAATTTGTTCAACATCTTGAAATACCTACCTATTGTTTCGCCTTTCAATAACCTTTTTAACAATTGATCGAATAAATGCTTTATTGTTTTTCATGTTATTAATTAGATCTCCCTTTCAACTTTATTTAATTTGTAGTACGTTCTACTATATGTACGTACACATTTCCGCTACCCATCCGAAACATTTTAAGTTATAGAGCAAGTTATAATGAATTGTAATGACACTTTCACTGGCGTTAGTTAAGCTCGGGACTTACGCTTGGCTACTTCTTATCCCATTCGGAAGGTCCCACGGGTCACGATCTAGGTCAGAGACGACTGAATGCTAAATAAAACTATCCCGGGCAGTTTTATTACACTTTTCCGTTTGGCTGTGTTAGCCTACTGTCCATGTCTATATTACAGTTATCTACTATAGTGGCGCAAAAGTAGAAAAAGTAATTTTCTTCAAAATTAAGTTTAACTCAAACTCGTGTAACCTAAATATTCTAAACTGCTGTTATTATTACAAAATCGCTCAAGTCAGGAGCAGGCCTCGGCGACAGAGTGACTCGTCCTCTATTGATACTGATAATTATATAATTACGGGAATGTATTTTAGTTATACTACGTCAAGAAATAACTGTCATCTTATTCATCGAGTTAAATATAAATTTACGGTTTGACACGATTAGTTCTCTTATTCTTAATAAATATTTAATTTGATAGAAACAGATGTTATCTTAGGTCTTTTCATCGATTCCGTTTAGCAAGGCTCGGTGCAAATCTGACTGAAGATCCCTATGCGTTATCATTAACTAAGCTCCGTCTGTCGAGTGCAAGACTAAATATCATAAAATTTCTCCGTTCTGTCTGACAGATCTTCAGTCAGTTATGTGTCCTCTCATTAGTCATCTGATTTACCTCTATGTCTATACCATATTCGTGCTCTATTTCTTTTTCCTTTGCGCAATAGCTAACATCCGTCAAATCTTTAATATATAACTAATTATGTTTGTGGAGCTATCTGTCGGCTGTGCATAATTTTAATGCCGCCATTCTGGCGTGGCTTGTGTCGCGTGAAACAGCGCGCGTTTTGGCATAATGGGCGCAGGGAATCGCGCACTGTTTAACGTTAATTGCCCCTCCCGGACAGTAGCGGGCGGCTGGCTTCATTCCTCAGTACCTTCGTACGTTTCGGCTTTACGATATGACCCGTCATTATGGCTCTCTGACCGATCTTACGGAAAGTCTTATGGTACCAAATTACTCTTCTTACGAAACTAGCCCGATTAAATTCCGGCTGCTCTACTGCGCGATGTCGTGGGCAAACAACAGACTGAACTGGTGTAGGATAGATTACGGCGTAGAGCTGCTGGTCGAGTCAATGTAGAAAATGAACTTTTTCTATATTGTCTAAGGTTTGGGTTTTGTGGTAGGTAGACTAGGCCCTCGGTTCAGTAGGTACATTTACATTACTATAATAAAAGTACTTATTAAAAACAACTTTATTTAGAATCTGAGGAATGTATGTAATGTTGTCTATTATCCTTTCTTGTGTAAATATTAAACGTAACGACATTAATACATATATTACTTTTCACCAATTTTAGTAAGATATAATGTCAATCATAGTTCTTTGTCTCTCGACTAAATCTTAAATGCTCTAGCTAGTATGCAAAGTACTTTTTACAAATAATTTTTATTTTATTTTAAATAAAACTTACAGCGCTTCGTTTTAGGATATATCAATACAATAAAAGGCGAGGGCCATTAAAAAGTGTTCACTTATGATTAAACACAGTACACATACTAGTTCAATGTTTATTTATCATTTTCTGCTGAGCCTTATCTCTGGAGAGCATCCAAATGATTGATGTGTTGAAAATTTAGTGAACTTGTTTAGTTATATTGTTCGTAGGTCTCTTGTCGTACTCCTTTTCTTATGTTCACATCATACTATTTGGAGCACCTTTATTTAATATATATTTAATTTTAGCCCAGCGATTTTTTTTTTGCTTTGAGAGAGGCGAATATGCGTTGACACCATTACAGATGATAGAGATCTTTTTCTTTTTATTGGGCGGGTGGAAATTATCAGAGACTGTTAACTTCTCTCGCTCGAGTCATGTGTTTTTATTGTAATAAAATATGTGAATAATGTAATATAAATATCAAAATATATATTTATTTATAATAAACGGCGCAGACAACACAGTTGTTTCCTGTAACACAAGAGATTTTGCTACTAACACTCAATTGTTAAGTCGAATGACGACTAAGCTCTAATCAATGATTTAATGTTGGACGTTAGTCTGTGAGCTGAGCAATGTTTGTGATGTTGGGCTTACATTTATTATTAATATGAGATTGTGATCTGGAGCAGTTGTGATGTGGCGCGTCACCGGGTGCCGGCACACGGTCTGCGCGCGCGCCGGCGCCGGTGCCGTTGCGTGCGCGCGCCTGCGCCTCGTCACACGATACTTAACTGTATAATAAACTTTTCCATGGCCACGCTGATAACATACTTGAATTGCATTATATCAGAACGAATTAGAAACAACTCCTCGGTGTAGGATATATATCTTCGTTAGGATTTCAAAGTATATTCATAAAAATGTTGAACAGTGAAACCAACTTACAGTAAAACTGAAATTTTTGTAAC